TTGTACAGATCACCTGCCAGGTTGGTTACAATTTGTAGGGCTGACTCCAACTCTTCCAGGATCTTAGCCAAGTGCTTGCCACTCTCAGATGGCTGAATGTCCTCTCTCTAGCCTGGCAAAAACCTTCTCCTTTTGTTTTCAAGTTTCCCCTCTTTTAGCTTTTATTCTGAAGACTGAGCAAGAGCCATTCCAGAATTACAAAAGATAGTTTCCATGGTTCCACCAACCCAAACACTAAAAGTAAGCCTCAAGACAGAAACAATGTGCTGCAATCCAGTTCCATGTGGGAAGTGCCACTATTCTGCCAAGTCTCCAGAGATGACCTGCTCCTTGAGTGAAAGAGATATCAGTAGTTATGCATCTAGATACCACACATATTTCTAAAAAGCTGTTTCACAATTGCCTTGGAATTTTTCAGACATCATAAAAGGAATTACATATTAACCAGTTATACCCCCAATTACATCTCTATTCATCTCAGTTGGAATGACCAAAATTTGCTGAGAATTGCCAGAATGTACCAAGTTTAATAATTAACAAAATTTAAAACCAGAGTCAAATTTAGATACTTTTAAACATAAATTATTGGATCAGTCACCTAATTCTAAAATTCTGATTTTACCATGTTTCCCATTCTCAACATGATTTGGCAGGAAATGCAAAAAGGTTGGTAGTAAACGGATGTGAGTTTTAATCCAATCAATTGCTTCTTTGTTGGTGTAAAGTTAAAGTTCATTAATTCAACATATTTATTCAGTGCTAACTGGGTCAGGCAGAGCTCTGGAGCTAGGGGTTAGGGATTTCTCTGGGTAGGAAAAGAGATACCTTTCTGGTCTCCAGAGGTTTACAGCCTAGTGTAGAAGAAAGCTATTGATTGAATACAGGGATACCTCAGATATATTGTGGTTTTGGTTCCAGACCCTCATAATAAAGTGAATATCACAATAAAGGGTGTCACACAAATTTCAGTTTCCTAATACATATAAAAGTTGTTTGTGCTATACTGTAGCCACTTAAGCGTGCAATAGCATTATGTCTTTTAAAAATATACATATCTTAGTTTAAAAATGCAGTATTGCTAAAGAAAATGCTAACCATCATTTGAGTCTGCTGGAAAAATGGCACCAATAGACTTGCTTGACACAGAATTGTTACAAAAACCTTCAATTTGTAAAAAATACACTATCTGTGAAACATGATAAAGCAAAGTGCAACAAAACAACATATGCCTGTAATTACACTAATAAGTGAACAATTAAAAACTCATGGAAAATAACAAAGTGGCAGAGGTGAGTTAAACAGAGGTATCTAATCCCATCTGGGGGGATTCAAGAAGGCTACTCTGGGAAATGACCTCTGAGCTAAGATCTGAGGTTAACAAAATGTTTTTCAGTTTCTCATTTTCCTCATCTCTCTTATCAAAGAGAATGAAATATCTTCTTCTTCCTCATGGTGGAGGTAAGTACCCTCTCTTCCAGTTCTCTCCTGGGCCTCCTCTCTTCTCTCTACACTCTTGGTTTGGTTTATTTCATTTACTTCAGTGGCTTCAACTAAAGCTTCTCTGTCACACACAACTGTAAGCCCAACTTCTTCCCTGCATTTCCAACTGCTAGACACCTCTTTCTGGGTGTCCTTCCAGCACCTCCAATTCTAGATGTCCCATCTTTCCACCAAACCTACTCTTTCTCTTCTTCACATCCCTCTTTTTTCTAACACTGTCACTTGACACATGTGAATGAAAAATCCCCAGTTGTCATTTAATGACCACAGAAAGAACTAAACCTTTTGAGGATGACATACAAAACTTCCCACAATTCATCCCAACTGACCTTTGTAGCTTGGTCTCCTATCAGATCCCCCACTGAAGTTCTTAAGGGTTTCCTAAGCATGTTCCCATGTTCTTTCACATATTTGTAATTTTTTCTTCTTTTAATTTTTTAAAAAAATATAGTTGACATACAATATTAGTTTTAGGTGTACAACATAGTGATTGACATTTACATGTACCCCAAAGTAATCACCACAATAAGTCTAATATCATGTGCTACCATACAAAATTATTACAGTATTGACTTAATTTTTTTATGCTGTACATCTCCATGACATTTATTTTATAACTGGAAATGTGTACCTCTTAATCCTCTTCACTTTTTTTTTGGCTATCCCTCCACTCCCTTCCCCTCTGAAGCTGTCCCTTAGCTTAAAATGCTTTCTTCATCTAGTCTCCTAGTGAATTCATATTCATTAAGACCTACTTCAAATGTCACCTCCTCTGTGAAGTCCACTCAGATTTTCTCAGGCAGAGTTTGGCATATTCTCCAATCACCTTCTCTAGAACTTTTCCCATAAGCTACTAAAGCATCTATCATAGGTCATTCATATTAACCGCTGATGACTCTGCCTCTCACATCAGCTTGTGCACACCCCACGGACTAAAGCCCTATAAAATTCACCTTTCATTCTCTTTAGGACAGAAAGTAAATGTTCATTGAACAAATGAATGAATGACGAATTAATGAATGGATCCTTCTTGTGGCATTTATTGTTTTTTTATCCTGTACTGTCTTTGTTTGGTTATCTCATCTTCCTTCCTGGATTGACCAATCTTCCATGGTAATAACAATGTGATCAACTTTTGCATTCTTTACTACAATTTGTAAAAAATACACTATCTACCTATCCTGATGCCTATTGTTTGAGTAAATAAGCAAAACTCTCGTAGGAACTTGTGTTATGTGTGTCACAACTGCAAAGCTATTTTCACACACGTTGCTTCACTTGCCCTTCACAATGACCCTGTAATCTAGCCATGAAAAACTGGTGTTTTCCTCATGTAGCAGATAAAGCAATTGAGTAAGGCCTTGGAACCATGTTTTCCTGGTTTTTAGAACAATGCCTATTCCATGTAGATAGAGGTATTGAGAAAAGGCAAATCTGCTCATCAGTCCCTTGTTTGGAGAGTTTGAGGGTGAATGCAGAGATTCACCAGTGCTTGTAAAACAGTTAAATATTTATCTATCCTTTCCATATGAGTCTAACATGAATAATTTGAGTGAGCTTGAAGGTTTGGAGTATGAATCAGAAAAGGAAAAATAGGGGGTAGATAGAAGAATCTGAACCCTTTAGACATACTTTGGGCAAGAAAACGATTTTGGGGGCCTGGAAAGAAAAACTCAGCTTCTATAAGATGGGGTGCTATGCAAGACAGCATCAGGAAGCACTTAGCAATTTTATAAAACACCTATGTAGATCTGTTTTTAAGTCCAAGTTCCTCCAGGAAAGAAGATATCAAAATTGCTGAAAGAAAACTAGATATATAGAGTCTTGGGCCACCTCAGCATGCTGTTGTGTTTATGCATCTATGTACCTACAGAATCAGGTACAAAGTCTAGCATGGGTGAGCTCAGGAGGGCCAGGCAGACAGAAGTGGTAGCCTGAGATCTGAGTCAAAGGTGAGAAGAGCTGGAATGGAGGAAGCTGCCCAGACCAGGGTCAGCACCCAACATCCAACACCTTTGTTTCCATCCGAGCACAGCAGAGTCGGAGCTCCTCTGCCCTGCACCCCTCACAGGGAGCAAGGCCAACCCAGCTCCTGAAATCTGGTTAGGGCAAGTCTTAGCCAACACATCCATGTGTAAAAGTGGAAGTTCTCCAGTTTCAGGGAGGTAGTATCTCCAGGTGCCAGCCCCCAGGGAGAGCAATAACTCAGTTACAGGGAGGTGATATCTCCAGGCGCCAGGCCCAGGAGAAGTGCAACATTCCAAGGTAAAGATAATAAAACTGTCTACTAGGCCCTGTTTGATCTGAGAGTTCCCCGGATACATTTATTTTTGTACAAAAAGTTAATGGCTAACTTCTGCTTCTTGTAATCTGCTTATTCAAGGATATAGTAGGAGGCTTTATAAGCTGCCTCCTCTGGAAGCTTGGGGCTGATCTCCTCTAACCCTGCGTGGTAGAGAGTCATTCGCCGGCCAGCTAATAAAGGCTCATAATTAATCTCAATTGGCTCCGTGGGTCTCAGAATCATTCGCGCCACAATACATGGTTGTCCTAATTATTGCTCAAGCAGCACCAGGAGGCCCCAGTTGTTTGTCCAAAGCATCTCCAGTGGTCTGTTAAACAGGCTGTATTGGAAACATTGTTTATTCAAACTGACCCCACTCATTGTTTATTCAAACTGACGCTCCTCAGAGGGTTGGTTCCCCCACTGATCCCATCTTTCTAACTTCTGTCTTCAGGGCCCCAGAGAAGAGCCCCCCTGTGTATGAGAGGGTTATCTCTGTCCCTATCCCTGCCAAATACGGGCTGGGCCAAAGAGCCAAGTTTTTCCACCTCAGTTCTGCTGGGCTGCTCAGCCACCCTGCGTTGGTAGTGGAGGAGGGGCGGGGCAGGTGTTGGGGGAGAGGATGAGAGAAGAGGCATTTGCTAAGAAGGCCCTGCAGCCCCTGGTAGACCTATGACAATCACAGAACCACAGAGAATCGGGGTCAGAAGGGCCTTTGGCAATCGATTGCCCTGGAGGCCCAGGAGCTGTTCAAGGTCGTCTTCCTGGTGTCCAGATAATAATAAATTGTGGTGCACACCTGCTTCAAGCGAGGGTGCTGAGTATCCAGGTCAAGTTGGAGCAAATGACTGACCTTTGTTTCGGGCAAAGGACAGAACCTTTGCGGTACCCCAGAGTCTCTCGCCTACCCCCTCCCCTTCCCCTCCCTTCGAAAATTCCAACAAGGGTAGGCTTGGCAGCCTTTCAGGGAAGAAATTAAGCCTGGCCCCAAACCTTCAACAGACTTCCAGTCCCCTGCTTCTGTCCAGGGGCACACCAAAACATTCCTCCAAGGGAGGGTTCAAGGGAGGGTTCTGGCAGCGCTGATTCCCCGGGCGCATGGACAGTCTAGAAGATCCTGGAGGCAGTCCCGATGTACGGCCGCCCTGCGCGCCTCCGTAGGCCGCCACTTCTCCGAGAGCTGGAGGAGAAAGAAGAGCGCGCAGCCGCGACTGACCTGAGATGCCGCCCCCCACCACGACCACATCGTAATTGTTGCTCATGGCGCTCGCCCTTCTCCAGGCCGCTCTGGCGCTCGCTGCTCTGGCCTCTGGGTTTCGGTCCCCGCCCGCCGCACTACCCCTGCGCACTACTGCCTCAGCGGAGCTGCTATATTGCCCGCCCAGGGCGCCGCGGAGCAGAGCCCCGCCGAGCAGAGCCCCGCCTGCCTGCCCACGTGCTGGCCGGGTGGAGCGCTAGGCCATCGCCCCTCCCCCCAGCTCCGCGGTTCAGACCTGTAGCGGTCGCCAGGGGTCGGCAAAGTCCTTCCCAGGGACCACCACTCCTTGGCTCTCTGCACAGTATTTTCTCATCAGCCTTCCTAATGTGCCATTGAGCTCAGGGGCTGAGAGGATGGCAGATTGGGGTGTCTTCTTCCAGCACCCCAATTAATCCCCAGAATGGAGCAATACAGATAATGGAAAATATTAGTTGCGCTCTTTCCAGGTACCAGGCACCTTACTAAGCGCTTTACATTGCATGACTCCAGTTAAACCTTACAACAACCCATTTTACAGATGAGGAAAAGTAGATAAAAGCAACAAGGGGTGAGGGCAAGAAAAAATACCTGAAAGAAAAAAAGCCAGTAAGATTCTGAGACCCACTTTGACCCATTACACTGTATTGCCATTATCTTGACATATCCTTGAGTAGGATTCCCAGCTCTCTCATCCTCTTTTTCAAATACCCGCTTCTTTCCCCACACTCCCTACCCTTATGCATGCAATTAACTCAGGAAGGCTCTTTCCTAGTATTGGAAACAGAGCACCTAAAGACAGTTTTAAATTGCCTCACTTTTGCAAATGATCAAAATAGTCAACTGCTCCTTGAACAAACCACTGCGTCAGTGCTGGGAGTTGTTGAGGCAGGAACCCAGGAAACTGGCAGTAACAGGGGCAAGGCCTTGGATAGGTAGGGTGGAATTCAGACTTCCCCCTTAAGTAGCAAGGAGAGTTATTTATGGTCCTTGGCTGTGGGTCTGGGGACCTCCCTTTGCCAAACATAGGGGTGATTCAACAAGATTAATGGTGTTTAAACTGAGATGACTCCAAGTGAAATAGAGGTATATTTCTTCAGAACACTAGGAAAGCCACTCTGAGAACCAAAAGTGGAAAAAAGCAATGTATGGAGGCTTCTGTTCAGGTTAGGAGAGCTTCAGTGGGGGGCCATCTTCGGGTCTAGTGAATTGATGAGAGCCTGAAGCAAACCTCCTTCTCATCCCACCCCAGTTCATGTAACTACCTGCTACCCAAGTATCCTGAGCTTCTGTTGCTCTCAGACTAGAAGAAAGTTTGGACATGTCTGTGACTGAGAAGCCATCAGTGGCAGGGGAAATTTAGATCTGACTTGGATTCTAGAAACTTTCATTTCTTTTGCTTTGGTATAAAACAACCCCAGGGCTTGAAACTTGAGCCCATGTCCCCACTGCCTCACCCTGCAGACAGCCTATACTGTCCTCCTCCTTGCAAACCCTACCCATCCACCTCTATTGACAGGGCCTTGAAGCTGCAGGATCCTTAGCTGTAGACGCTCTGTCCCCTTACCTAGCCTGCAAGTGAATCACATGTCCAGAGAGGTGGAGTGGAATGGATGGAGAGGATACTTGTAAGATATGCTTGGGATCTGTTTTGCTTGGCTCCAGCAATGCCAAGTCAGCCATGGGCCTGGGTAGCTAAAGCTTTGAGTCCAGTGCAGGCTGACTATTCCTTCTTGATGTCCAACTGGCAACTAGGCCAGAAGAAAATCTGAAGTTCTATGTTGTCTATGGAAAAAACTCACTGACAAACAGCATTTTCCCCACACAAAGGTAATCAGTTACTTATACTCTGTGAAGTCACAAATTGGTTGAATTAGAACCCAATCCTTGCTCATAAAGAAAATAGGAGCCATTAGAGAGTCTCTGAAGCCACCTCTGTCCCCACATACAGGTAGTCATTGAGGCCTGCTCAGGGTTCTAAGTCTTTTAGGTGGGGGTAACTCCCAAGGTTTGTCTTCTCCCTCAGCATTATGTGGCCAGACAAAGCCCTTAAAAGTAGTGCTTCTCAAACTTGAACATATGTACAAATCACCCAAGTCTGGGTTGGACTCTGAGAAGCTGTATTTTCTAAAAAGTTCCAGGTGATGCTAGTGCTGCTGGTCCATGGACCAGACACTTTGAGCAAATTCTTTTCTACTCTGGGCCTCTGCTCCCCATTAGTTCCAGAGAGAGCTCCATGTTCCAGAACCCTTTACCTATCTCAAGATGGTCCTAATGAGAAGGTACCTGCTCATTATATAAGCATTTATGAAACACATGCTATGCTGAGCCCTGGGGAAGAGATGAACAAGATGGTGGCTGCCCAGCCCTCTTGAGGCTCATACACTGTCAGGGAAGACATCCAGGAGGAGTGATCACAAGTATAATTCTGAAGATTGCTTTGGAATATGCAGCAGGGCCAGATAACCCAGCCCAGGCAATCATAGAGGACCTCCAGGAGAAAATGACTTCTACTGGGACTTGAAAGACGAATTGGGGTTAATGAACTATTGAGGAAGATGAGCACGCCAGGCAGAGTTGGGAGGCAAGCCTGAGGCTGGAGTATTGGAAAAATTGGACACAGTCCAGGATACAAAGTACATCTTTGACTACCTTTAAGACATTATAATACCACAAAACTATTAGTGATTAATAGGATAATAATAGTTGAAAAATTAACATTTATTTGGGTGTGCTTGTGTCTTCTCTTCTCAAGTTGATAATAAAGTCCTGCAGGAAGGGATTATCATTATATTTTATTCATCCATTCAAGAACAATTTATTGAGTACCAACACTGTGTCAGTCACTGTGCTTATCAGTGGAAATAAGCCCTTAGAAATAAGAAATAATGCTAATCTTAGGAAAACCAAATACGAAAAAAATTATAATAAACCTATTTCATGTTCCAATGGAACAGTGCTCAACACCTCTAATCAAGAAGCACAAAAGAATGCTGTTTGCCCTGAGCAGTGTTTATTTGCCCTTCCGACTTGATGAAATCTATGTTTCTTTCATCAATTAAAATGAGCTTACATTCCTTTCAGTTTCTTATTAGAAGACTGCTAAAAAGATAAAATGCCCTTATTACTTCTTTCTTGCGGTCTACTTTTCATTATTTTGGTGAGTTTCCTATAATGCCATAAAAGGTTTCAATAAAGAGGCAGGCTGTGCAGAACAGAGTTCACCTGATATTATCTAAGTTGTACATTTCATTTTTTTTGGAGGGGGAGGGACACTGGAAGCTTGACAGAGGATGGAAATTTTTTTTAAGATTAGATTTTTTAGAGAATACCGGTTTCTTTTCCCCAAATTTTTTGTTAATCTTTTTTTAAACATTCACTGGGGAATCAAATGATGAACGAGTCAGCCATTACAGCCAGAACAGTTCTTTAACAATGTTAAATATGAGAGTGTCCAAATACCTGAGAAGAAAAAAGAGGAACTTCAGTGGGCCAAGACCTTGCTTTTGGCCTCAATGACTTGCTTAGAGAGGAATCACATCCTCAAACAGCTCGAGTTGAGGGTACCCAGTTTGAATCCAAGTCAAAGCTCTTCATGGGACATTGGGCTAGAGACTCAAGATCCAACTCAAAAGTCCATAGGCTGATTTAAGATGCCCCAGAGGCATACCCGAGAGCCAGGAAACTGGTCAGGAACTGGATCAAAGTAGAGTTGACAGAGAACAAGCCAAATGACAGGTGGCTGTTCATGACTCACCTTAACAGGTTGACAGCTATGTAGATTCAATGAGCTGGTTCACAGAGACAAGGTTAAGATGGTCAAAGACTCTTCCTGCCCAAAGAACCAGCATATAGCTCTCTCACCTATGGCTTACTTTCCAGAGCATGAGCAAGACAGAGACAAAGGGGCATAACACAGAGGGGCAGGCCCCAGAACATATGAGTCAGGCAGAGACATGAAGCTACAAGGTTTCAGAAAGATTAAGGTCATACCGAGACATGTTGCATAGCATGCTAAGGGAAAACAAACCTTACTTGCAATATAAGTGCTAAACGAACTGTACCCAAAGTGAGACTAAAAATATTTCCACAAATCATAATAAGTGTTTCTAAATAAGGAATGACATATCAGAACAAATGATGTGACAAAGACTGAGTGGATCACACAGAGGAAGGGCAAACAGCAAATATTCAGCTGAGAAAGAAGACATTTCCTAAGAAGACCAGGTTAAGGGTTTTCACCAATTCTTTTGGGAAGAGAAAATTAGAAATTAATATTAGAGCTACATTTATACTAATTATTGGTTGTTGAATAGAGTTATTTTCAATTAATTATTATTTATGTTATTCTAATTTCATAATGTGAAGTAACTGATGCAGAATCAACCCTTTGGTTATCTTTATGTAGTCATGAGTTAAATAATCTCTCCATGTTTTCTTATAAATACATGTTTATGTCGCATAGACTCCAGATGACGAGTGCAATCAGGATCTGGTGACTATGGTAATCAGATGAGAAAAGGAGCTCCATTTATAGATGGCTACTGCAACGATATATATTCTTGGTGAGAAGGCTTACACATTACAAAATGATGCTAATAGCTGAGGCTTGAGTTGACTCGAACTCTGTTAAGTAATAGAAATCCAGTTTATAAGAAATGATTGAAATGAAGGTGTTTAAGAACAAAATTATGCTTCACTATGGATGTTGTGACTATTAGGGTTTAAACTATGAACAATTATAAAAATAAGTAAAGTAGAAAATGGCCAATATAATGCAAAAACCTGAAATGTATTACAAAAGGTAGAAAATCTGAATATACCCTCTGAAATATAATATATAATAATATTCAATATAATAATACAAATAGATTACTTATACATATATAACGTATTATATATTAATTGTATATAACATATTACATAACTAGTGTGTTTAGAAGCTCCCACTGAGATTCTTTTGTCTGTGGAAGTATCATCAAGATTGTAGACCAGCAGCTGAGTATGCCTAGTGGTACAGGGCCTCTTCAGAAGATAGATAGCATCATCATGTTTTGTAAACCAGGTATTTACAAGGGAAGAAAAATATACCGACGTGGGCAAACTGGAGGAACTACAGAAAGTTACCATTTCTCAGTATC